AGGAGGACCTGCCGGAGAGCCAGTTCGCTTATCCTGGGGACAAAGAAGGAGGACCTGCCGGAGAGCCAGTTCGCTTATCCTGGGGACAAAGAAGGAGAACCTGCCGGAGAGCCAGTTCGCTTATCCTGGCAACAAAGAAGGAGGACCTGCCGGCAAGCCACTTCGCTTATCCTGGTGCCAAAGAAGGAGAACCTGCTGGAGAGCCACTTCGCTTATCCTGGGGACAAAGAAGGAGGACCTGCCGGGGACAAAGAAGGAGGACCTGCCGGAGAGCCAGTTCGCTTATCCTGGGGACAAAGAAGGAGGACCTGCCGGAGAGCCAGTTCGCTTATCCTGGGGACAAAGAAGGAGGACCTGCCGGAGAGCCAGTTCGCTTATCTTGGGGATAAAGAAGGAGGACCTGCTGGAGAGCTACTTGGCTTATCATGGGGACAAGACAGGAGGACCTGCTGGAGAGTCAGTTCGCTTATCCTGGGGACAAAGAAGGAGGACCTGCCGGAGAGCCAGTTCGCTTATCCCGGGGACAAAGAAGGAGGACCTGCCGGAGAGCCAGTTCGCTTGTCCTGGGTGGGGACAAAGAAGGAGATCCTGCTGGAGAGGCAACTCGCTTATGCTGGGAACAAGCAGGAGGACCTGCTGGATAGCCAGTTCGCTTGTCCTGTAAAAAAGAAGAAGAACCTGCTGGAGAGCCACTTCGCTTATCCTGGGGAGAAAGAAGGAGGACCTGCTGGAGAGCCAGTTTGCTTATCCTAGGGACAAAGAAGGAGGACCTGCTGGAGAGCCACTTCGCTTATCCTGGGGACAAAAAGGAGGAATTGCTGCAAAGCCACTTCGCATATGCTGGGGACAAAGAAGGAGGACGTGCTGGAGAGCCAGTTCGGCTGTGCTGGTGCCAAAGAAGGAGGACCTGCTGGAGAGCCAGTTCGCTTATCCTGGGGACAAAGAAGGAGGACCTGCCGGAGAGCCAGTTCGCTTATCCTGCCGGAGAGCCAGTTCGCTGCCGGAGAGCCAGTTCGCTTATCCTGGGGACAAAGAAGGAGGACCTGCCGGAGAGCCAGTTCGCTTATCCTGGGGACAAAGAAGGAGGACCTGCCGGAGAGCCAGTTCGCTTATCCTGGGGACAAAGAAGGAGGACCTGCCGGAGAGCCAGTTCGCTTATCCTGGGGACAAAGAAGGAGGACCTGCCGGAGAGCCAGTTCGCTTATCCTGGGGACAAAGAAGGAGGACCTGCCGGAGAGCCAGTTCGCTTATCCTGGGGACAAAGAAGGAGGACCTGCCGGAGAGCCAGTTCGCTTATCCTTGCCGGAGAGCCAGTTCGCTTATCCTGGGGACAAAGAAGGAGGACCTGCCGGAGAGCCAGTTCGCTTATCCTGGGGACAAAGAAGGAGGACCTGCCGGAGAGCCAGTTCGCTTATCCTGGGGACAAAGAAGGAGGACCTGCCGGAGAGCCAGTTCGCTTATCCTGGGGACAAAGAAGGAGGACCTGCCGGAGAGCCAGTTCGCTTATCCTGGGGACAAAGAAGGAGGACCTGCCGGAGAGCCAGTTCGCGGAGAGCCATCCTGGGGACAAAGAAGGAGGACCTGCCGGAGAGCCAGTTCGCTTATCCTGGGGACAAAGAAGGAGGACCTGCCGGAGAGCCAGTTCGCTTATCCTGGGGACAAAGAAGGAGGACCTGCCGGAGAGCCAGTTCGCTTATCCTGGGGACAAAGAAGGAGGACCTGCCGGAGAGCCAGTTCGCTTATCCTGGGGACAAAGAAGGAGGACCTGCCGGAGAGCCAGTTCGCTTATCCTGGGGACAAAGAAGGAGGACCTGCCGGAGAGCCAGTTCGCTTATCCTGGGGACAAAGAAGGAGGACTTGCCGGAGAGCCAGTTGAGCAGTTGTAGACTTGTCTACCAACCCCTTTTTGCGTGCGAGGCGAGCCACTTGTGGCGAGCTTGCAAAAATCCAAAAAGTACCCTAATCCCTATCCCGTGTGCTTTACCTCACCCTAAGCACCGGTATTTGGTGTGACCATTTCTTGTGTCGTGCCATTCTGAATGCTTGGCCTATCCGTGACATTCATCTCAAGTGGTGGGGGGGCGGGACCGCCAAACCGTCTCGACACAAGTTCTTGACGGGGGTGTGCGGTTAGAGAGCCGTGGAAAGCCTTGGGGCCAGTAGCGTGCATCTAGAAGGTTCAAGAGCTCCTAACGCGAGGTGCTGTTAGGTCGTGCACGCCGTGTGGTCCCGTTGACCACGGCAGATGGGCATACAGCAAATTCTTTTGCTGGAGGACTGAGCAAAGAGCAGTTGCATCTTTAGTAACTTTGCTTAAGGATCCGGAATCACCTGGACCCCGGAGTTGTGATCAAAGGTCAAAGGCGCTTGCCGTCCTTGAAGGTTGGATGGGGTGCCCAAGGTCCGGATTTTGTTTGCAGCTTGAATAAGAAAAGTTCGTGTGTGTGCCGATTTTAGGAGTGCCTACATGTCAACTCACGCTTTGCCGCGAGGGCTGCTCTGGGAATCAAAGTTCTTGTTTTCTTCAACTTTGAGAGGCCTGACGCTTTCGGTCTTGGGTGTTTGTGCAATTGCTTTAGCACTCAACGACCGTCATGCTTGGCTCGTTTGCGAACTCGGTAGATTTTCCTTGACGGCTTTGTGAGTGACTCTTTGTAATGTAAGTGGCTGCGAAGGCGCCCTCTCTCAGTGGATCAGGGTATCCCTGTGAGCCCACATGGGAGACGTGCCTGTGGATGCCGCTGCACTTGATGCGCACTTGTCCTTTTGCATCAGAGCGAGTCACCAGTCATCTTTCAGACCTACGTGGGAGACAATTAGCGAGCCCACGAACTTAGTTTTTCGTCTCCCTGCTGCAAGGGGACCGTTGCCGCTGATAGCAGGACCTCGAGCTGAAGCGGCATCTTCCGGGTCCGTCAGTCAGGCCAAGAGACCGGGTGTGTCAGGAGACTCGCCATTGAAGATGGGCAAACATTGGCGCGGGATTTCGTGGGAACACAAGCTGGAACGTGAGCTGGTCGCGGGTATTAGGAAGTGGGGTGTGATTATTATGCACTCCCCTCTGAGCTTCGATATCGGCCGGCGTCTGCGAGGTGAGCACAGACTTGAACCCCTCATCTTGGAAAGCCTCGGCCACATTTTTGCTGGGAAGGCAGCTGGCACTCTGCATCAGAGGGCTGGTCCGATGCTTAGGTACATTCGTTGGAGTGTTCAGGCTGCCATGGATCCTTTTCCCCTTGAGGAGGGGCAGGTATACGAGTTTTGCAAGAGTTGCGAGTTTTCATCTGCCCCAACTTTCTTGAGGAGCTTCATTGTATCCATATCTTTCTCTGTGCACGTCCTCGGTGTCACAGGTGGAGCCGATTGCTTGCTCAGCGGTCGGGTGACTGGCATAGCGAGGCTCACCTACCTCGCCAAGCGCAAGAAGACTCGGAGACCGCCACTCACGGTTGCTATGGTGGCTTTCTTGGAGAATCTCGTTTGTGATCCGACTGCCAGGGCAATTGATAGAATCTGCGCGGGTTTCTTTCTTTGCTTGGTGTTCATGCGAGCTCGGTTTTCAGACGGGATGAACCTTGGAAACCTGCAATTGGACACTCCAAGTGGTCTAGCCAATGAGGTGGCTGGATACTTAGAAGGAGAGGTTCTTCGATCAAAGACTTCCTTCACGACTGAAAGAAAGACGATGCTTTTGCCCATGGTCTGCCCACGCTTAGGTGTCACAGGACTCGATTGGGCGGGAGTGTGGATGAAGCTACGGGAGCTTCACAAGATGCCGTCGGGCAGCGGTGTGCCGCTGCTCCCTGGTACAGGAGCTTCAGGAGAATGGCTACTCGTGCCACCGAGCGCCACTGTCGCTGCATCCTGGCTTAAGGGCATTCTGAGCAAAGGAGGTTTTGATCACGGGGCCATCGCCAAGTTGGGTACCCATTCTTGCAAGTGCACTACCCTCAGCTGGTGCGGGAAATTTGGTCTCGATCAGTCTGTGCGTCGTACACTCGGTTACCACACAGACCGAGCTGCTGCGATGGTCATTCTTTACTCTCGTGATGAGATTTCTAGTGCTGTGCGAGCTCTGGAGAGAGTCCTTGGTGAAATCAGGGAGGATCGTTTCAGGCCTGATGCCACTCGGAGCGGACATTTTCCTTGCGAGGTGGCGACGCCCTCAGCGGAGCCCGAGGGTGATCCTCCCGACTATGAATCCAACGGTGGAGCTAGCGAGTCGGAAGACTCACAGGACGAAGAGGACAACGTTGGTGATCTCGGAGCCGAGGAAAGAGCTCTGGAGGAGATTGGAGCGCCGTGGAGACCACAGGGCGCTGCCAGTGATCGCCGTATGTTCCGGCACAAACTCTCGAGGATCATTCATTTTGTGGCCGACGAGGCCGGTGCCACTTTTGCATGTGGAACAAAGATCTCATCGAATTACGTTGAGATGAACAGTGGAGTTTCCTTTTTGCATCCTTTGTGCAAGAAGTGCCACCCGGTCCGATGAGAGCTGGTTCGGGCTGGACCGGAGTGGGTTTGGGTTTGTCACATCCAACCCGGTAGAGGAGCTGGTGCGGGCTCGGGTTGGGTGGATGCTGGTGCCTCCACTCGCATGTCGGCTGATTCGGGCCCGAGCTGGAATTTTGGGCACAGCATCGCATGATACCTTCGATGGCCTTGAAGGATCGTGAGAGTCCTTCTTGGAGACTTGAGTCAGCGCTCTGAGGATCGCTTGGATCCGGGGCGATCTGCCCTTGGCGGAAGGGCAAGACTTTGTGTTGACGTGCTTAGCAGTGACGTGGGTCATGGTGGATCGCAAAGTCTTGTCTTGTTTGAGCGTCGAGTCTATGGCGTGCAGCAAATACAGGGTCCTGTGATGTGTGCTGCGCGAATGCCGAGTGAAGTGATTACTCTTGCAGAGGTGCTGTAGAGCAACAGTGTGGAGAGGCGAAGCGTAAATACTGCGTGAACAAGTGTGCTTCTCAGAGCTGGCGGAGGGTGTAGTCGTAGCAATGTCGGTCACTGATTCCGCCGCAAATTTCCGTGCGAGGGCCATCGCGCTGGGGCTTGATGAGGCCGTTCTGCAAAAGATCGTCGACGGGGGTATTGACACATTGGCCAAGTTTGCCTTTTCGTCTTCATACACCCCGGGCGCTCAGGATGAGAAGCCTTTTCTTGATTCCATCGCAACTCTTCTGGGTAGGGATGGTAGCGTGGGAGAATTGTCAGTACTTCGACGCTTATTCCATGAATCCTACTCGCTCACCTCTGCTGAGTTGAAGCAGTCAGTGGAACGTGTCGAGGACGGGCCTGTCAAGAGATTGGCTCAGCCAGACAGGGCCGACCGGTTGGCCAAGCAACAGAAACGCTTACCTGGGATAAGCATCCGAGGTCCTCTTGAGCCATCTGATCGACTCGTGGATCGTTGCGTGGCGATCTATGAGGAAAACCGGCTTGTCTACGTTGAGCTTTCAGCCTGCACCTCTAAGGAAGATGAAATTAAGCAAGCCACGCTCAAGGAGGACAGGCATCTTGTCGTAGAAAGCGGGGGAAATGTTCGACTCAAAGGCCTGGTGAACAACAAGATGGATGCAGACATTTCCTCTGATTTGCTCATGCGGTATGCTCTTACTAGGCGTGGCCTAGCGATGGAGCAAGCGGGAATCATCTCATATACACTGCATGACGCATGGACCGAGCAACTGCTCGCGTGCCGTTTCCGAGAACCCCCGACAGGGTACAGCCAGCCGCGTTTCCTTGCAACAGGTCATCCATGCTGACAGGCAATTCTTCATCAAACTTGCCGAGCTCACCCGGGAAGGAATACAGCTTCAGGCGAAGGGTAGGCCATGTGATTTGCACTTCGAGACAGCTCGCAATCACCCGGATGTGGCGCACCTAATGCAACCCCTTCTTGCAGCGGTGCCTAGACCAGACCCCACATGGACGCCCCGAAAAGGCGACGGCAAGAACGGCAAGGGAGGTAAAGGTCAGAAGGGTGGTAAAGGGAAGCGGGACACCACTGCCATCACTGCTGCGATGCCTAAGGAGATTGCTGATGGGGGGTTATCTTTCACGCCTAAAGGGTACGCAATCTGTTGGGATTATAATCTCAATAGATGCAAGCGCAGAGTGACATCAGGAAGGTGCGACAAAGGGTTGCACATATGCTGCCGTGCTGGCTGCCTGAAGTCTGGGCACTATTACGGCAACTGTCCGAAAGCAGGTGGTTCTTGACTAGGTGTCTCAGGTCCGGTCGGTTCCACCTCCCATCAGGTCGGAGCCGATACAGGTATGAGCGTTGATGCAGCCGGCGGTGCTTCCGCCGAAATCCTTTCACAACAGTTGCTTGAGGCTGACAGGTTGCCCACTCCAGAGGAGATTGAAGAGCTCGTTAGCCTCTTGCCGCATGACGAGTTGACCGGCGAACGCCGGAGCAACGCGGACGCTTCTTGCAGTGCATTCCATAGCGGTGCTTTTGTACACATCAAAGTCGGATTGCGTCGAAATTGCAAAATCTTCCCAAGCACGACAAAGCTACTATCGAGAATTCTGCGGCATGCCCATCCTGGGCATGAATTTACTTCCTTGCTGCTTTCTGTGGACAACCAGACTGCATTGCATGCAGATAGCCAGAATGCCTTCATCCCAAACTTGGTAGTTCCACTAAACAGGTTTTCTGGTGGTGGGATTTGGGTGGAATCCGATGTTGGCAAAGAGCGTTTGACAGTCGATGGCCAAGAGCTGCTGGGAACCACCTTGGATTTAGGGTTAGGCCCCGTAAGGTTTCAAGCTAGGGTTCAGAAGCATCTCACCCTGAGTTGGGAAGGTCGGCGAATGGTCCTTATCGGATACTCTGTACAAGGCGGTGAGATGCTTCAAGACTCGGATAAGGTTGAGCTGGAAGCCTTGGGGTTCGCACTTCCATCGCAGTACCCCGCCACCGGCAACCAGGTGGCTGAGCAAGCGTGTTTTGCAGACTTCAGAAATGGGACCAGCAGCCCGCCACTTCTTGAGCAAAGGCCGGCATATGATCCACAGCACATCGGCGATCCGTCGAGGAGTCCAGTGCAAGGGATCGTCATCGAATTGTTTGCTCGTAGTGGTGCCTTGTCTAGGGTTTTCAAACAACATGGGTTTGAGGTTTTCCCAGTGGACCGTGGGGGGCACAGGCTCCCTTTGTCTAAGTTGTGTGCCCTTGATTTGGCGCAAGCGTCGAGTTGGACCTACCTCGAGGAAGTTCTTGAAACCTACCCAGTTCTTTATGTCCACGCTGAGCCGCCTTATGCCACGTTTGGGCCACAGCAGGCGTTTAGGCACTTAGTCAACGGGGTCACGAGCCCCGTGGGAACCGTCGACTCCAAAGCTGTTGATCGACTCGCTTTAGCTGACTCCATGGTCAACCACTTGTGCACTTTCTTGCAAAGCGTGGACAAACGAGGTATTCCTTGGACCTTGGAACACCCAAAGGCCAGCCTTCTTTGGAATCTGCCGAATGTGCGGGCTTTGCCTTCAACTTCTGAGGTTGTTTACGATCTTTGTAATTTCGGGTCTGCCCTTAAGCTTCGCCGCCAACTTAGGACCAATTGCAAGGCTTTACGGTCCCTAAACTGCTTGTGCAAAGGCGACCATTCGCATGGCCAAGTCGAAGGTGGAGTCGTCACACACCCTCCCGAATTCTGCAAACATGTCGCCCAAGCAGTTGCGCGGCACCATGGACTTGCTTGCCCTGACGTGGCTTTGTCATCCACGCCAGCTGGTGTTGCCCAGCAGAAGAGAGGCAAACCTGAAGCTTCGCTCCTGCCTGAGTTCGGCAAGGTCTTGCAGGTAGATGTCGATCAGGTTCCGCCAGTGAACCACAAGCAGTGCCTCACTCGCCCGTTGGGCGAGGTGCCAGCAGGATCCAAGCTCATCGCCACGTCTCTTCTCAAGGGTGATGCGGGTGGCGATGCGGGTAACGAGGGTAAGAAATTTCGCCTTTCTTTAGGAGTTTTTGCCACACCAGATGAGTTCGTTGATGCGGCCAAGGACTTGCTACATCCTTTTGCTGCTTCGGCTGTTCTGTCGCCCATCGTGAAAAGGCGTTTGTTTGAGGCCTTGACCAAAGGTCCTGAATGGGTTCAGCGACAACGGTGCTCCAAATTGAAATTGTGGCTTAGCTGGGCCAAAGAACTGCAAGTTGCCGAAGGAGAAATGAAGGGTAAGCTAGATCCTGACATTGGCCGTGTGCTTCGAGGCAAGCGCTTGTTGCTTCTTAAGCGTATTGCTGATGATATGGACTGGCCCGACAAGGATTGGTTGGGTGAGCTCTTGGAAGGGTTTGACTTAGTCGGTAGTCAGAAGCACACCGGGGTCTTCAAGCGAGAGTTGCGACCACAAGCAAGAACTAAGGCGGACTTTCTTGATGCTAGCAAGTTCTTGCGACCTGCACTTCTGGGCAAGGTCGCCTCTGAGGGTCTGAACGAGCATTCTCAGGAACTCTGGGACAAGACCTTGGAAGAGGTGACGGACGACCTTCTTGAAGGACCTCTGACGCAGGAGGAGGTTCATGCCAGACATGGTGACCATTGGGTCCCGGTTAGGAGGTTCCCGGTGGTACAATCTTCAGCGGGCAAGAGGAAGCTTCGACCGATTGATGATTTTTCGGAGAATCTAGTCAACGGTTCTTTTTCGTATGCCGATAAGATTGACTTGCGTGCCCTTGACGAAATCATTGCCATCTGCCGATGCTGGACCCAGGCATGCACTTCAGAACATCAGTTCTTTTTCGCGATGCCTGAAGGGCCACCGTTGGTGGGCCGTGTCCACCCTCTGTGGGTCAGCGGGGCTTGGGAGCCTTTGCTTACAACGTTCGATTTGAAGAATGCTTATCGTCAATTCCCATTGTCACCAGGCAGCCGTGCTCATGCGATCATTGCACTGTTGGACCCGAGCAGTCTTGGCGTGGGTTTGTTCGAGTCCAAAGCGCTACCCTTCGGTAGCACGGCGTCGGTGGTGCACTTCAATCGAATGTCACGTTTGTTTTGGAGGATTGGCCTTGAACTTCACCTGTGGTGGAGCAATTTTTATGATGACTACCCAGTCATGACGCCAACACTGCTTAAGGATTCCACCATGGCGACTATGATGCTCCTGTCCCAGCTGTTAGGGTTTAGTGCCTCCCTTGAGAAGTTGGCCCCATTTTCTTCGGTTGGTACGATGTTGGGCGTTGAAGTAGACTGCAGTTCAGCGCCCGATGCGCTCATCCGTGTTCGCAACAAAGAGGGTCGTGCCAGCGAGGTGTGTGAGGTCATACAGGGATGCATTAAGGCTGGTGTGGTAAGGCAAAAGGATTTCGCCCGTGTCGCTGGCCGGATTCAGTTCTCAGACTCGCAAATCATGGGACGTACCGGCAAACTAGCTTTGGCCGAGTTGCGAGCCTCATCGGCCAGGCATGCTGACAAGTTCCGTCTTGGAGAGCAGGAGGTTAGGGCCTTTGATTTCTTGGTCAGTCGACTGTCCTTTGGTGCTCCTAGGGTTGTGCCCTGTTCGGTTCCTCCGAAACCGATTCTTGTCTTTACCGATGGTGCCAGCGAAGGATCTACTCACACAGTGGGGGGAATCATTTTTGACCCGCGAGAACAACAACCGAAGTACTTTGCTTGCCATGTGTGCGACAGTGTCGTCTCGACCTGGTCCCGGGACCTTCAGCACATCATAGGTCCCGTCGAGGCCTACGCTGTGCTCACAGCGAGAAAGGTCTTTCATCAGTCTCTGTCGGGACGATATTGCGTGTACTTCATTGATAACGACGGGGTACTGCTTAGCTACATCAAGGGTACGTCTTCTAGCAAACCTATGCGAGACATTTTGCTGATGTGGGAGTCCCTGGAGATGCATGCTCACACGTGGGCGTGGTGGGCTCGTGTGCCATCCGCATCCAACCCAGCCGATGCGCCGTCAAGAGGCGAGCTGGATGAGCTTGTCAAAGCTGGGGCATTGCGTGTGGATTGTGATTGCCCGCTTACCGGTACAAGACTTGTCGACTTGTAATCAAAAGGGGCTCCCGTACTGCATTGTTTGGGGGGATCGGGCAGCCCGGTTCGCCCCGAGCAAAAAAAAGTCCACCGTGCGAGTGATTGAGCTTGATTGGAATCATTTCATACCTATATTTATGGAGTCTTGCCGTTGCATAATTTGATGCCGACTTTTTCTCTTGAATAACATTCTCGAGTACACGATTGGAGGTTTTTGGATTTTTCCGAGCTTAGCAAAAAGAGCAGTTGTAGACTTGTCTACCAACCCCTTTTTGCGTGCGAGGCGAGCCACTTGTGGCGAGCTTGCAAAAATCCAAAAAGTACCCTAATCCCTATCCCGTGTGCTTTACCTCACCCTAAGCACCGGTATTTGGTGTGACCATTTCTTGTGTCGTGCCATTCTGAATGCTTGGCCTATCCGTGACATTCATCTCAAGTGGTGGGGGGGCGGGACCGCCAAACCGTCTCGACACCCACCCACCACACCCTGTCGAGACATCGTTGCTTCGGCTTGCAGCGCCGACTTCTGCTCCCAAGGAGAAGTTCAGTTTTCTGCCAACTTCCGGCAACTTACGCCTCGATTGAGGCGGCGATCTCGGTCGCTGACTCTCGTGACTTTAGCTGCTTCCGAAGTTGTGCCAATCTCACAAATGTGAGAACGCGCCTAGCCCGAGCCTGGATCGGGCAGCCCGGTTCGCCCCGAGCAAAAAAAAGTCCACCGTGCGAGTGATTGAGCTTGATTGGAATCATTTCATACCTATATTTATGGAGTCTTGCCGTTGCATAATTTGATGCCGACTTTTTCTCTTGAATAACATTCTCGAGTACACGATTGGAGGTTTTTGGATTTTTCCGAGCTTAGCAAAAACGCTTATTCTGGGGACAAAGAAGGAGGACCTGCCGGAGAGCCAGTTCGCTTATCCTGGGGACAAAGAAGGAGGACTTGCCGGAGAGCCAGTTCGCTTATCCTGGGGACAAAGAAGGAGGACCTGCCGGGAGCCAGTTCGCCGGAGACCTGCCGGAGAGCCAGTTCGCTTATCCTGGGGACAAAGAAGGAGGACCTGCCGGAGAGCCAGTTCGCTTATCCTGGGGACAAAGAAGGAGGACCTGCCGGAGAGCCAGTTCGCTTATCCTGGGGACAAAGAAGGAGGACCTGCCGGAGAGCCAGTTCGCTTATCCTGGGGACAAAGAAGGAGGACCTGCCGGAGAGCCAGTTCGCTTATCCTGGGGACAAAGAAGGAGGACCTGCCGGAGAGCCAGTTCGCTTATCCTGGGACAAAGAAGGAGGACTTGCCGGAGAGCCAGTTCGCTTATCCTGGGGACAAAGAAGGAGGAGGACCTGCGGGAGAGCCAGTTCGCTTATCCTGGGGACAAAGAAGGAGGACCTGCCGGAGAGCCAGTTCGCTTATCCTGGGGACAAAGAAGGAGGAATTGCCGGAGAGCCAGTTCGCTTATCCTGGGGACAAAGAAGGAGGACCTGCCGGAGAGCCAGTTCGCTTATCCTGGCGAAAAAGAGGGAGGACCTGCCGGAGAGCCAGTTCGCTTATCCTGGGGACAAAAAAGGAGGACCTGCCGGAGAGCCAGTTCGCTTATCCTGGGGACAAAGAAGGAGGACCTGCCGGAGAGCCAGTTCGCTTATCCTGAGGACAAAGAAGGAGGACCTGCCAAAGAGCCAGTTCGCTTATCCTGGGGACAAAGAAGGAGGACCTGCCGGAGAGCCACTCTTTCGCTTATCTGGGGACAAAGAAGGAGGACCTGCCGGAGAGCCAGTTCGCTTGTGCGGAGAGCCAATTCACCTATCCTGGGGACAAAGAAGGAGGACTTGCCGGAGAGCCAGTTCGCTTGTGCGGAGAACCAGTTCGCTTATCCTGGGGACAAAGAAGGAGGACCTGCCGGAGAGCCAGTTCGCTTGTGCGGAGAACCAGTTCGCTTATCCTGGGGACAAAGAAGGAGGACTTGCCGGAGAGCCAATTCGCTTATTGTGCGGAGAGCCAGTTTGCTTATCCTGGGTTCAAAGAAGGAGGACCTGCCGGAGAGCCAGTTCGCTTGTGCGGAGAGCCAGTTCGCATATTTTGGTGACAAAGAAGGAGGACATGCCGGAGAGCCAGTTCGCTTGTGCGGAGAGCCAGTTTGCTTCTCCTGGGGACAAAGAAGGAGGACCTGCCGGAGAGCCAGTTCGCTTATCTGGGGACAAAGAAGGAGGACCTGCCGG